TATATATATAAATTTATTTAGTAATCCTTAATTTGCACGAATCATCTTATTCACAGTGTATAGATACAATTTTAAAGTTAACTTCATATTCGAATGATTGTTCCCAACGTGCTCAAACAATGTTGACGTACATCAAAATCGCGTACTGAAAGTTGCAATAAGAGCCTCGTAAAACGAAGTGATTTCAAGGATTTAGATATTAACTTATCAGACGCATTTCGGAAACATCGTGCCGTTTCGCCTCAACAACATACAACATATCACGTCAGAATTTTATACGACGATTTGAGTTTGTTTTGACCTAACCCAAATCACTTCTCCCACAACCATTTCCTCTTCCGAAACTATTTCTAGAAGCTAAAGCTGAGTTCTCAGATAGACATAGGATCCGTTGCAGAATTTAAACTACGCGCAAAATTATTTGTTCCACTAACCTATTGACAGCTAGTTGTATAGTTTGAGTTTGCGATTCCACTTCAATTGGTAGGGTCAAATTATCAAACAGCTTGGGATGAACAATGGTAATCGTTGGGGTTCCCTTGCGTGACCAAGTGTGTCTCCGTTCACTCGAACGTAATACCACTGCACCAATGCGAATTTCGCGCTTTTTCCGTACTGAAAACTCTTGTCTTAACGGCGATAATAATAAGGTGCTATTTAACGTTAGTTGCATTAAGGCTGAACAATATCGATCTAGAAAATTTCTGCCACGTCAGAAAACAGATGTGCACAGCAGTGACCTTATACGACTGGTTTCAGCCACTAACTTGCGCATGATTCTATAATAGAAATGTATTACAGCTGTGCACTTTTATGGTGACTGGTGGTGGAGCAATCCAGGCAAACTAGGTTCGGAAAATGTTTTGCAAAAGCTGTTTTGAAGGGAGCCGTCGTTTCGACCGACAGTTTCTTCGCTGTCGATCGGCACCGCTGGTGATTGATGGAGGAGACGTAAGGTCTTCGCTCAGGGAAAACGGCGACATCAGGTGAAGCATTGGATGAATATATACTCGTCGTACGTGACGTTATGTATAAAAGAACATCTTGAACCGGTTAGCAGGTCTGCTTAGATGGCGGATGCTAGCCTGTATTTAAGGCGGTCAAAAGCTTCTCTTTCTTAGCAGAAACTTTGTTTTCAGAAAAAGATTTGTAACGGTTTTCTTGAGATGTGCTTCGCTTATTGCCTGTTGACAATATTTAGTTGACTCACGCGACGCACCGCTGCGGACTATTAGTTGAATTCCTCTGTACTAGAGTTGGTGTGGTCTCCTAAGCCAGCTAGTTTCCTTTTGGAGCAATTTTTGTGCGTAGATTATTGTGGATGTAAGCATTTTGATTATTTAAACTTCTGATTCTTTTCTGACCTGCTCAGTTGTTACACGTGATCCACTTCAATTTTTTAAATTGGTGACACAAGCAATTTTATTTTCGTTCATTAAGTTGTCTTCCATTTTAATTCCGCGATAATACATATGCCTTACCTCAAACTTTCAGCCCATAGACCTGTTGGTAATAAGGAGAATGCATTTAAATACATTAGGCTTCGACTTGATTCCGTGCTTGAAATTTGAAAAAACCTTGCCAATAGAAATAATAATAAAAGCGACCTGCGTCGCTGAAAGCACTGCGATGTGACACACACTGCATCTAATAAATCATATCGTAACCTATCCTTTGCGCTTGCATTAGCCTCTATATTAATTTGTGAAATTAAAACATGATAAAAATGATAGTTTTACCCGATTAAAGCAAAGAGACTAAGTATTAAATTCGTACATGCCTATTGAATTAGGAAATTTTACTTTTCAAATCCACGCCCTTTCGATACCGATATAGAACTAAAATTCGTATGTAGTTTCATACGTTTCTGATTATGAAAAGATGTTTTTTTGGTTTCAGTCACGCAACCTGTTCGGCAAAATGCTTGTGAACTAAAGTAAGATTCAACTAAAGTATAAAATAAGTTTTCGGGTGTTGCCCCATGCCTATGCAAGATGTACGGCACAATGCTCTGACTCGGTTATGCACTTTGAGGAATATTGGTATAAACGTCAAGTGGTATACTTTTGGCTTTCACATCTAGGGTGGCTTTACACGCAAGTATGGTTTATCAGTACATATAAACACTGCACGACTCTAACCTAATGAGTGCGACGTATGTTTTTGTTTTTTCATAACAGGAAGAGAGTTGGAAAAAAGCTTTTTCCATCTTGGCGTATTCAGCACCGGGGGGACGGGGGGGGGGGGGGGGGAGCGTAACTGGGGTAACGGTTTCTACAGCACGACAATAGGTCAGAAAAGTTAGTCCCAAATTAATGAGAAAAGATAAATTAGAACTGGAAATATTTTAAGTATAATACGAACAAGTGCATTTCGTTCGCATTCTACAAACTTTTGCTTAGGATAATAATAACGATTCATATCATGGCATTCGCATTTGCGATTGCTTGCACGTGTGTAGACCCATAGCCACACTATCAAAAACGTGTTTTTACGGTTCGGCAAATGCACATGGTGTTGGGCTATTGTTCAGCGAAACGCACGTGGTCAATGCCCTCATACTTAACTTAATGAAGCCCAGAACGAGATTAAATTTCCATTGATATTTTATCAATAAAATTTATCTAATTCAAACTTATAAAGTGTAGTTATTAACAGAAGGCTTTACAAAGGGAAACAATTATAGAAAAGTATTTTTTGTAAATAATACAGTCACTCAACAGCACTTTGTAGACATAAAATAACCACAAAAAAAGAAATCATTTATCGAATGATAAATATCAATATAAGTTATAAACGCACAGTATTATCTTAGGAATATAACTAAGACAAACATTTGTCCATGTTTCCTAGACCAGATTTCATAATTTCAATATGAGAAAATGTATATAAATCTCTTGCTGAAATACGAATTCAAAAGGTACCTCTGTTTCAAGGAGTGAAATACACAATAAAAAAGATCGTCTTACGTATTTTCCATAATGCTGAAATTCGAGTTTTTGCTGCTACGTAAAATACTTAGATGTTTTATGCAATGAAAATTGACTGAATTGCAAGCTATATAAAATGCTCACTATTGCTTATATTTATATAGTGAAAATACGCATCAGATAACAAAGCTGACAAATATTCTAAATTGATATACATGAAAAATAAAAAAGGCCATTGTAGGTCTTGTTAAATAGATATTCTATTTAGTGCAAAATCGGTACGAGCTGCTGAGTAAAAGCACTTTTTGTCGAAGTAATTAGTAAAACTATTATTATGATTTATTGCACATGCATAGCAGATATTACTACATTAGCACCTTTCAGGTGTATATTTCTTACGCAGGTTTCAACATTTTGGTTACTGCGACTGCGCATAAAAACAATTAACTGTCAGTGATGTTACATTCTGCTTTACAATAAAGTTTACAAATTTAGGCTCAGTTTATTGAGCTTCTGCAGCCAGCTTTTTGCTTTTCAACTGTTCAAGACCAATTCGTCTCAACTCAGTAAATCCCAACCCGCCAAACAGCTTTGCTTCTTCGTCAAGATCTTCGGCAAAATCAGTAAACACGCACTTCTTTCCGGTGAGTGGATCAATTATATTGCCATTGGTGAAGACTGTTTTTTTTATTCGATGATTGACTTTCAGGCTCATTCGTTCCGGTAATTCTTCAATAATGACCCAGTCACCGGGCTGACACTTCTCGTTCTCATCGAACGTTTCGAACTCCGCACGGTGCTTATAATGCGCCTTAACATATGTGTCGAAAAAAAAATACGGCACATTAACCGTGCACACTTTTTTGGTCGTTGCGGCGATCACTTTGCCGAGCATCATTTTGGTCTGAAGGGTCATTTTCGTCGATTTTTATGTGCAATTACTTTTGGCTAGATCAGCAATGGACGGATAAAACGTCGGCGCACCTTCGACACGAGGGCAGTAATATGCCGTATTTGACTGCACAGGACTGCTTTACTAGTGAAATAATAAATCGAACAGCTTCACTAACCATGTACTAGCATGGGATACCGCGATTTCTACAATTTAGTACACCGCCACACAGGCATCGACTACCTGCACGCTAAGCGACCGAAACAAAGTGTCAGGGTCTTCACATAATGTCTTCTCCGCCATTTTGATATGGGTGGATGGATGGATGGATGGCAAGGGTGGCATGCAGATGCAACGGGCGGCCGAACAACCTCGGCGACGCAGCTACATCTCTTGCAATAAATACATACGCAATGGATGTCAATGAAGAGCACGTTTCCATATAAATACCACGGTGCCTGTGGTGACGTATATATAATATATAGCAATAATGGTACTGGTATCCTGGTGTACATCTCTCGAAAGCTAAAGACTACCCATACATAGCTGAAAAAAATAACAGATATGATATACAATATAACAGTTCATCTTATACTTTAGCTGCACTATAGACGTCGTTGAGTAAACATTTGCAAATATGATTTAATATAGTAAACACTCGATTCTGTGTTAGTAGGTTAAGCCCTGTTTAAGGACCTAATCGACTTGTGGGAGATTATCTCGATCCCTAAGAGGGTTCTAACTTCAGTGACATGGCAGATATAATAATATTACAGAAATCTATTTTAAGCACTATTTATGCAACTGATTCCAATCGACATAGCTGCCGAGTGCTAGCCATAGGCCAGCAGCCACAACTGTACGTTAGTTAGATAAATTTGACCCGCAAAGAATCAATAAGAGAAGCAACAGTATTAAACGTACTAACATTTAGGGCAAACTTGCATAACATGTTACGAAAAACTGCTATATTCAGCAAATGGAAAAGTTGGAAAAAAAAAAGTTATTTTAATAATGCAGTAAAGCGCGATATGTATAATCAAACGTAAACAGCTAACGCTTGCAAATCTTCTTGTGAAGAGCCAAAGAACTAGGGAGTTGTAATATTTGTTGTATAAAAACGTAGCACTTGAAAGTGTTTCGTCTTGTAGGTTTAAGTAATGTCTGTTTATAATCAATTCTTTATATATGTATGAAATTATAATACAACTAGAGATCCTATTATACTAAAGGGTTTCAAAGTTTCGGGCTAACGGAGCAAAACGTGACAACACTACTCGTGCAAAAAAAAATCACTGAATATCACAAAAGAAACCATAATGTAAACATGACGCTCTGATCGCGTCTATATTTCGAGCAGCGAAAAAAATTTTAAAAAGCTTTAAATTTATCTTCGCGGCGTATTATCTCCAGGGCTTGCTGGAGATTGTGCATATGCATGCAAACCTACGCCTACCACGTTTCATATTTGTACGTACTATGAATGATAATAGAGTTTCATTAGTCTGAAGCAGTGAGTAGTGCCTTAAGACACCGAACGTAAATTTAGAACGACTAATTTTAGCGTTGACGCGTACACAATGTTCAACGTATCAGCAATCTGAGCACTGAGATCTGTGTATTTATTAGAAATGGTTGTAATTGTTAGCCGATTTGATCAAATATCAAACATCAATTTTTAAGGAGTAGTCAGGTTTTAGGCAACGTCGTAATAGCTCTCGAAATAATTGTTCTTTTTTTTTTTTTTTTTTTTTAGTACAAATATAGTTCACCCATTATTTAATTTTTGTACCTTAAATTTCATGCCCATAACGTGACTCAGCTAAGCGCGAACTAATATGCCTACATTATGTATGCCGCAAGCTTCGTGCTGAAATATTTGTAGAATTTTTTGTTCTGTTGAAGGTGTACAATGGTCTAAGTATTTATGTGTCGTTAGTGAGCATCTACATGGCTCAACCGAACGCGTATGCAATCTTAGATCTTACGTTTGAATGAATGGTAACAGTCGGGACGTGTGTGTACGAGATGAATTTAATCGCGGGAATCTTACTTCTCGATAATATAACTATTGTTTGGATTTTCAAATATCAAAAATTGTCGTCCTTTATCAGCATTGTCAATGTAGCTATCTGAAGTTTGGCTTTGCTCAAAATATAATTGTATTATTTAAAATTAACATATTCTAAATTTTCGAAACCTAAAATACGCATGATAATAAAAAAAAAAAAAACAATATTCTCCTATTATTAATTAGTCGAATCCCAGTTTAGCGATTTCTTTCCGCCTGCATATCGTTGCTTCTTCTATCATACAGCGGTACGCGTTGCGCTCTGCCGTCTAGCTAGAAATACCGAAAAAAACATTATAAGACGGTATCACAGAGAATGGCGTCACAACAAATAGATCTTCATATATTCCCCACTACCTATCATCCGACGGGGCAATACAATACACCAAAAAACTTTCATAACACTGCGAGCCGGCGATGCGTATGGTCACGGAGTGGTACTAGGCAGTCTTGGAGTGTACGCGCTAGGGTGCATTAATAGTTCTGCTTTTGTTGCCGCTCGTGCACAGGTTGCAACAAAAGTAACTGTGCAGCCTAAGTAATGCGAGCAATATTCTCTTTTGCCGTCCACCCTCGTGCCCAAGCCTTGCTCTTATTTACTTTGCTTCTTCATTGTACAGAGACGGCTCTGGGAGTAACGTTGCCCTCGATTTCACCGTTGTCACCAAGAACTCGACTACAACGAAAACCCTATCACCTTTGACTCCCGCTTTTCCCCTGTTCGCAGCCTTGCTGTCGTCAATCTTCTGGCCTGTGTACATTCACGTCGTTCGTTTAATATGTTTTGCTACGCGACTGGCCCTACTGGTATTACGACTCAGTCAGTCACCCATTTTCCCTCCTCGTTCTTGTGATGCTTCTACCAACTGCGTCTGCTTGCCCCTATACTTAGGAACTCGTGTCTAGTGTTCACTGCTTGCCACCTCCCAAGCTGGGTCCCAAAACAGCCAGGCCCTTCAAGAATGCCCCATACGGCCCATCTCTGTATGAGAGCATATCTCATATTCGTTGTCTGCGCAGATCGGAGGCAAACGGCTGGAAACAGAGAAGGACCGAGGATAGGCTGCAGCTGGAGCAAGTCATTTGCTTAACAACTAACTTCTGCACTTCAATAGCTCTGTCGATGCAGGCGTGCAACGCTGTCGCAGTCACATGAAATAGTGAAGCGCTAGTTTTGACAATAGCGTATCTTGCCAGCAACCACAAATAGCTAAATCGCAGTGGGGGGTGAGGACGAACAACTATATGGCTTGACCCTTGATGGCGAAAGAATAAAAGGGGCACTAAACTGGGTCATGGTTAGGGCATAGCGTGCGAAGTTTACGCAGTTAATAATGCCTAATGATCATTATGGCGGCAGGATAGCTATAGTGGCTGCTTACTTATTACTAGTATACTTAATTAATATACGCCCATATATTACATTGGACATCATTATACAAACAGTTATACGCATGTACAGGCAGAGGTGTGAACATGTAAGAAATGACGAAGCAAAGAGTGGAGTGCGGAATCACCTTATCCAGGTCAGCAATCTTAGCTATTCTAACAGGGATTGAAAGAACCCATGTTTCTAATACGGACAAACAAGATCAAAAGTGTGATATGGCGGAGAGTAGCAGTCGCAATGTCGTAACACACGAGTAATTATTGCGCACTTTCAAAATAGCGAGAGATCCGTCAGAAGAAATGCTGACATTAAATTATCTGAGATGTTAGAGATCTGGTATAAATCTACTAGGTCTATTATATCACAATTCTTATCTTGTTGTTGATGTACGCACGGGGTTTTCGGTGTACTGTGAGAATCAGATTAAGTTTCGTTAAACTAATATTGCTAACCTTAGCCAGAGTATAGTTTAAAATGGCTACAGAACAATGTCGGCTATGTTATGTAGCTATACGCGTCACATTCAGGGTCACCATATTCTATCAATAGATAATAAAACTGGTCAGGATTTTATGTTAAAATAGTCCTTAAGTGATAAGTACCAACATGGTTCTACGCCCTTCGGTTGCATAAAAGGTATATATTCGATTGTACAAATTAACTACACAACTATCGGGTCCATGAGCGCACCCTCAGCACATTTCTTTGACCATTTTAAACCTGAAGATCAAAATAGCTAGAGCCTTTTATAGGCGAACAATCATGCTCCTACATTCGTAGCCAGTCACGTTGAACCTTACCTAAAGACAGGTCCTGGTTCTGTGAATGGCCGTTGCACACCTGTTAACAAGGTATCTCTACTCTTTAGTCATTATTGTTAGGAAAATCGCGCCCTACTCTTATCTTTCCGCGTATGAGCTATGCTTTTTGGCTTTATTGCTTTCAAGGCCATGCACAAGCTTTTTCAACTTTATATCGTCTTGCGACTATGTAAGTTATTTAAAAGAAACCTGCCGACCTAGAGGTGGGACAGTGGCAAGTGTACGCCTAAAATTGCACGAAAAATCGTATTTAGAGAGCGTTACAAAACTAAGCTAAGTTAATATACATAAAGAATCTATTCTGGTTGTGTCATAGTAAGAAACTCGCTTATATAATTAGTGGTTTATATACATATATAAATTACATGGAAAGTCCTTTATAGGCAGAAATCGCTTTGATTCCCATAGAAGTGGTTTTCGCATAATGCTAAAGATGAGGCTAATGCTAAAATGTGTTGGCTTAAAGTTATGTTTACTGCATACTAGGGTATAATATTTTTTTTGGCCTTTATTGCGCTATGCAGACACATTTGCTTTTAAATTCTATAGACTGGGCTCTATACGCACATACAAATAACACATGGTTGTCTATAGCTCTCAATGAGGAACGGTGTATGTATCGTCACGTCGTCTCCGCCTGGCGTGTGTGCATTACTCGTTTCACCGATATAAATTATTACTCCCGTTAACTGAAAAAACGACCGCCGGGTTCCCACAAATGGTTCATAAGCGGACTGGAGATAATGGTCTCACGTGGCACATTCTGCGCCATGGCTAGGCAGTCGGTCTCACTCTTGTTCCAGTCGCATTTCCTCGACTTGTAATAGGTTTTTCAAACCTAAAAGGCGATTAGTAGCAAGTTTTCTCCCCTCTCCTTTTTGCACTGCGGCACGCCGGTCGAGAGAAGCTGTGATTATTTGCGTAGTGGAGGACGCATTACTTTTCGTCCTTTGTTATCGGCTTCTCGACTCGTTCCCTGATGATCTGTTGGATATCGTTCG